TTCCCTTCCCTTCCCTTCCCTTCCCTTCCCTTCCCTTCATTTTGAAATATAACAACACAATTCTCTTGCTATTTTGCCATGAATGAACACTGAGGATTCCTGAAAAATAAATCTTCACTAAACACGAGCTTTAATATGGAAAATTTTCAACAGCCTTCCAACAACAATACATGTTGTCCTCAGTTCCGAATGAATATGAGCTAAAAAGACACTGGTTTTTTAGCAAATCCAGTGATTTTAAATTCATACCATGAACAGTACTTTCCTCGGATTCATCCTCAAATTTTTGAGCTATGTATAACTGCCCTTCAACATTTTTCTTCATTTGACAAAGAATTGTCTCATCTTTTCCTTTTGAACAACTTTTACTAATGTTTAAGACCCCACTTTTAAGCTGCTCTTTTTATGCTTTGTATAAATCTTTCTAACCTCTCTTTTGAGCAATTTCCTTTACTTATATCTGTTCTTTGACCAAAACTGCCTCAGAATAGGTGCTCCACCTTTCCTGGTTTGGGGCAATGGCTTTCCACAGGCAGTGCCGGGCACAGAACGTTGGGGATAGAGCTGTCCATTGTGTGCAGAGGGACAGCCCTTGCTTTCTGCAGGAGCTAAACTCCTACTGATTGCTTCTAAAGGTGTCCTCTGCTCAGGTATCCCGCTCACTGCTGTGCCCCAGAGGGCAGGGGCACTGCTCTGCGTCCCACCTGGGCACAGCCCTGTCAGCAGAAAGAGCAAATTGCTCTCACCTCCATTTCGCTAGGGACCCGGCGGGAGGGAGGCAGTCAGCATTTTTGAGAATCATATTACTTGAATTTGAAGATCTGAATACCAACCTAGTTTCACATGCTTTGAATGTCTGAGTTTACAATGTATCCGTTTCTCTCCTGTCTTTCGCTAATTAGATGTGCTGTAATAAATAATTGGATATTTTTATGGGTTTCATTTTTTTTCTAGCAGTTTACTGTCTCCTCAGATGAAGCAATGATTTAAAACTTGTATAAATAATGACTTAGATTATCCACATTTCTTGTGTCTTCAAGTTGCTTCTTTTTTCTGTTTTAATAAACTTTTATCTTAAATCAAGGTACGGGTGAAAAATATTATTAAGAAAAGGCTTTGTGTTTAATTTCCTCAAAATAAGATCCACTATTCTCTTTTTCCTCCTAATTTACACTAATTTTTTAGTTTGAAAATATCAGATGGTTTAAGAGCATTTTTGGTCTTTTATTCCCATGTCCATTGTTTCAGCCTCCTGCTTCTGAGGTAGATATCTTTCCATTTTTAATGAAGACTCCCAATCTTTTTTCTATTCAATCAATTCTGAGTTCTGAATATAAAGTTATACAGTTTTTAGCAGTTCTATCAAACAATACAATTAATAGGTCCCTTTTTCTCAGATAAGTTAGGTTTACTCTATCCTTCCATCACTGAGAAATCTGATTTCTGTTTTGATTTTACAATATTTATCCACTTTTGATAAAAAACAGCATAATATTTTTGCCTTTTCTTATATTTTTCAAGTTAGCAATGAACAATATTTATCACTCAGCAGAGTTAAAAGAATTTCAATAGATTCTTACCTGTAATTCTGTTTTTCATTTCCTATGTGAAATCTGTCATATTGTGAATATGCTCGGTTTCCTTCCCAGTCCGTTAATTCAATTCTTAGAGAATATTGCCTCTGACTTGTTATTGCAAAGATAAATTCATTTCCCAGCCAATGTTCACCTGATGGGCTACCAAAACCCTAGAAAAAATTGTCAAAATAACTAGATGTAATTACTGGAATTGATAAAGCCTATATACAATAATAAACCCATCATTATATTTTACCTGTGCATTCTAATTACTGGTCAGAGCTGTCTTTGCTCTACTTTGGTGGTCTCTAAAATGATTCTACAAATATATTTGATGTAGGAATGTCATGCAGTTCAACTAGTGTTTGCAAGGGCAGCTGAGGTTATCAGCTGGAAATCATGTTACACGTCCATGATATCAATAGCATGATGCTGTATTTGCACATGCTTCAGTGGGAATACTTGACATAACAATATTCTATAATGCATTCAATATGGTGTTAAACCTTGTTATCTAGCTCTTCTCCACCTTGCTCTCCTCACATTTCATATGTTCAGGTGATCTTATTTCTGGTTAAACAAAGGACATCATTTACAAACATGAAAAAATAATAATGAAAGAAAAAGTATAATTACTTTTCAAAACCAGACATATGTTTTCCCAGACGTATGCTTTTATACATCTTCCAGGTTTTAAAGTTGTTTCAATTGTAGTGAATATTTTACTACATTAAATGTAAGGGTTTATTAAATGTCATTAACTTATTTATTATGTATTAGAACAATTGTTCTTTTTAAACTGTTGGTTCGTACCTGAGATCTCTTCAGTCCATTTTAAATTTTTCTTTATTTTTCTCTTTAAAGAGTAAAAATTATTTTCAGCTATAGTATTTACTTGTGAAGAACTATTCCAACATGACTGTGCCTATTCATACTTCTTAAGATGGGAAAAATAGGAACCAGAAATCTCCTGATTTGCTTACAGTGGCATACTGGGAGTGTTTTAGAAGATCCTGTGAAAATTTCCTAGTCAAATTAAATGAAAGATTGGATTATTTCCAGAAAGCACATATTTTTTTAAAGAGGTTAAAATCAAGAGACTTCCGTGGGACTAAAGGTTAGATAATGAGAAATGTGTCTGTGAGACACATGGGCAAGACATCGATCTTCTCTATATATAATGTTTCAGTCACTCCTTACATGAGATGAAAACATTGAAAGAGGAGCTCTCTCTCTTTTTTCTTTATTGTATTGCTGTGGCTCCAGCCCTGATTAGTTGTGTCTCTGGAGGATGAAATCCTGCCTTCCCAGTGGCCATGTGGTAGCACAGGTAATACTCAGGCAATGGATAGGTATATCAGCTGCAAACTTCCAAAGTAAATTACTGAAAAAAAATTAGAATCTTAAAAGTTTGACTGGTCCAAAAAATAAAAATGGAGGAAAGTTTTGTTCCTAGAGAGAGAGAATTACCATAGAAAGTACTTTACTAAGGACATATTTTGTTTACACAACCTCACCTAAGCCTATATTTGGTGACTCACTGATAGTAGAGGCTGAGAAGACACACCAAGTTTGGGTATGCTGAACTGACTAACTTATATTTTGAATAAGCATCTCTGCCTTTTAACTCAGAGACCATCAAGAGATACCCATGGACAAAGTGTTTCATCTGCAAGACCTGAAATTCAGTAGTCTGTGGCAAGTCCCAAAGTCTCAGACTGAAATGTGGGAGCATACTATTAGTTGGCTTTTCCTTTCCTGCATGTTATTTCTTTATATCCTCTTTCTTCAATAGACTATTTCCTATAGAAATCCCTGTAAATACTGGTTGTAGGTAATAGTGGTGATATCCTGCTTTGAACCCATCTGTCTTCCAGTGTGAGCTGCTGCTCCTCAAGTTTTCCAATTATGATGCTTTCTCTTATTTCTCACTTGCTGCTTTGATGGCATTCACATTCATATTTGACTTCATACAGTGTTCCTAAAACACAAAAAGACTTGTTCCTCACCTGTATAAACCCTATTTACAGCTGGCACACTTTTCTGTAGTTATCACTGTTTTCTGGCTTTGATTCTTTCCATCTTCTTGCCTTGTCTTTCTACCCTTGACTGTCCCACCTGGTGTCTCCTGTTCCAGTCGCCTTGGCAGTGTCATACCAGAGCAGTTTGTGGTTTGTCTCTGACATATGTCACCACTGGTCACTGTCACTCATCTCACAGTAAGGTAAGATATGCTCTGCATAGACTACCTACCAGGAGGTTTGTCTCCCTAAAATCCAGAAAGAAGTGGAGCATAGTTGTTTAGATATCAGTCACATTAGGTTTTCTTGGAGTTTACATGGTTTCTTATTCACAAAATTATTTATTATTATTATTATTATTATTAGTAGTAGCAGTAGTAGTAGTAGTAGTAGTAGTAGTAATAGTAGTAGTAGTAGTAGTATATCTTTAAGTGAAGATACCAGAAAATTCTTTCTCCCTTTTTCTCAGTGCAGGAAAAATGAGGGGACTCCTCTTTGAACTGTAATCTATTTAATTATAAATATCTTATCTCATTTAGATTACAGCCTATTCAGGATGTAATATATGTAGTGTTTTAACATTACATGATCCCTTATGTGTTTTATAGAAACTCCAGACACCGTATATAATTTTTCTGAAATAATGATTTTTATCCTTCAAATTTTCACCTCCTTCTCCCTTTTTATATGTATTATTGCACTGAGATGAAAATCTATCACTAAGTGATTTGCTCTTTTGACCAGAAAAAAGGAAGATGCAGCAACACGGAACAAAAGAAATATAAAAAGAAATAGTAAAAATTATGAGGAAATCCACCACACTAGTTATGAAAAAGGGAATCCTACTATCAAGGGCTACAATACTGAAACCTGAAACTCAGATTAGAAATTCCTAGAACAAGATTTTTTTTTTCCTTGACAAAAGTAACTTCTTTTTAAACAAAATACTTGCTTTTATGAAAAGAAAACCAAGGAAGTAAGTGGGATATAAAGCATTTCTCTGAAGGAAGAAATGTTCCAAAGGAGAAGCAATGTGCTTTATTAAACACCTAATATGGCTAGAAAGATATAAACAAACAAATAGGCACTCAAAGCTTTCATAGATGTAAACCAGAGAGGAGCAGTATACTTCTGCTAAGCACAGAGCTGGCAGCAATTTCTTCAAGTATAATTTTATTATGCCAAACTCAACTGTTTCCAACCTGTATTTAGTCTGCAGTTTACTGCCTCTACTTCAGAGCTGAACAAAGACTTGCATGCATCCTGTTTTTCCCAGATGCTTTGTTTGACTTAATAACTACACAGCTCTCCTTGTTTATATCTTACTTAGACTGTCTCTACCACAAGAACACTACTACTTTGATGCATATGTAAACTTTTGTGTGCAGAAGAAAATGGCATAATATTAGCAAAAAAAAAACCTGAAAAACATGATTTAATTTTGGGTTTCCATTCCCAACCCTGAGGCTGGCAAAGAAAATGGTTGGGCCTGGTTCTTTTGATTTACCTTCAGAATCCTTAGCTTTCAAAGAACATTTCAGAATTTTGTCCTCAAATACAAATTATTCTTTTCTTGTCTCAGTTAGAAAACTTAGGAAAACAAACTTGTGTAATTGGTATGCCCACCTGTCCTACATATTTGTGAAATACTTTTTGAACACTTTTGAGGTTTGGTTAAAAATCACACAGACTTGAAGTTCAGCAAGGTTTCAGAGAACTGGTGTCTGTGATGAGTTGCTGCTGGCAGAAATGCTGAAGGAGAAGCTCAGCAGTTGCCTATTCCAATTGCTACAAGCGGACACAGAGCAGCCAGCCAAGTGCAGATGCTGAGCAAATATTGCCTCAGAGGCTCTTACACATCTGGGAGAGACTGAGGGACATAAAAGGGGAACTTGAGCTTTTACCACTGTGAATCCTAGAAAATAATAGGGTTTCAGAAGATTATTAATAATAAGAATGGGACTTCTATGTGGGACACAGGACAAAATCTGCAGAAAAGCAGACCTCATTAATTTTGATGTTCATGGGAGAATCCAGTAATTGTTTGGTAATTAAAATTCAGTAATGAAAATTAAAATTCAGTATGAAAAATAAGCATTTTAGCTAGCAGACCATTAGGGTTTATGCTGCTGCTCAGATCTGTGGGGCCCCAAGTGATAAGGTGCCTAAAGCCTTGCCTAAGACCTTGCTTGTCATTTATGGACTGATGCCTAAGATTTAGGACAAGAAATTTGGTTTTGAGAATGCCTCAGGGCAGTGTTAGAAGTTAACATTAGGAGTGATCTATTTCAGGCCCATAGTTCTTATTTGTTTCCCAGTACATACAGACATTTTCAACAAACATTTTGGGTTTTGCATTCAAATAGTTATAGCAAATGTTTCCAGAATTATTTGTGTTAAAGTTTAGTGCCTAAGCTCAAGGAATCACATGAGGTGATCCAAGTCATCCTCAGCTATCAATCCACTAGGAAAAGGAACATCTGTATTTCATGAATGTGTTTGCAGTTAACTACATTTTGAGACTCTCTGAAACCCAGTGGGTCTTAAACACTGTTCCAAAATTGCATTTTAAATGATCAAGAGACTATTTTGTCATTATCTTTCTATATTTTTTCATGATATGTTTCCAAATAAAGAGATTAATTCTTTAAACTCTACATTTTATTCCAAAAATACTCAATTTTTTTTCCCCTAGAAATTTGCATAATAATTTGGGATGGCTGGCAAATCAGTGGCTTTAAGTTCCCAAAAGACTGCTTAATGTAATAGGAAAAGATCAGTAATTTCCAAAAGTTCTCATCGTTCTCCTTCATTTTCTCACTAGCACTCTATGGAAGCTGGGATAATATAGCAGGGAAATATGCTTACATTTTCACAATATGCTTTCTTATCTCTCCACTATTAGTCACAAAAAGGATACACAAATGTTTGCACTGATCCAGCACAGATTATTATAATTCTTCATTTTATTCTTCACAAACAGAAAAAAAAAAAACCTTTTGCTGCTGAAAATTGCACTAAGACCATATTTTGGCAAAGGCTGATCTGAAATAAGACATGAAAATCACAAACAATAAGAAAATTCTTTTATCCAGGTTTTGTCATTGAGAAATAATAAATTGTTAATGTGATGGAATTTGTTTTCAGAG